TTGTGTTTGTGGAGCTGGAAATGAAGAAGATTTTTCATGGTGAACTAAAGGTGTCAAAGTTTACTCAATCAAAAACTTTCAAGGACAAGAAATTACCAAAAGAATTTTCAGATCTTCTCCACTATCTGTTGCTGTATCTCAGAAACAAAAAACTCGAGAACTTTCCTAATAATATCTCTGCTCAAAATATTGATGTGGCAATAGAATTCTTGTTGGTTTTCCTTGATGCTGATGTGTCAAATCACGTTATTAATGGTAACTGGTTGAATGAGGTCTTGTTAAAGGTTGGAGCTATAGCGGGTGATGTTCTATATGTAATTCAAAAGCTTGTTCCTAGATCTATAAACAAAGATGACACTAGCAAAATAAGTCTTTGCTCGATACAGATATTGGAGAAGACTAAAGATCTGAAGGCACAAGTTGAGACGTACTACAAATCCTTAAAATTTACTCCATCTCAGTTCCCCACCTTTGGTGGATTGAGCTTTCTGGATTCTCTTTTAAGGAAACTGAATGAGATGTCGAAATCTAAGTCTGGTTTAGATTTCCTGATGAATCCTCTTTTAGGGAATTTGGAGAAGGAGTTATCATCTCTTACATCCATTTTAGAGAAGGAGCTATCATCCATTTTCAGAGATGTCGTGCACCACGAACATAAAATTCCTAAAGATCTTCAGAGACGTACCATCAATTTGGCATATGAGGCTGAGGTTGCCATTGACTCTATTCTTGCTCAGAATAATGCTTTTTTGCATATTTTTTGCTTCACTTCCTACAATTTTTAAAAGAGATCAAGCAAATTAATGCAGAGGTGACTGAGATGTGGTCAGCAAACATTCCTCTTAATCCTCACTACGTGGCTGCTCCATTTAAACATTTGCCAGCTCGACATAGCAATCTTGTGACTGATGAGGAGGTAGTGGGTTTTGAGAATAAAGCAGAAAAACTAATTGGTTATCTGATTAGAGGTACAAATGAGCTAGATGTCATCCCAATTGTACGCATGGGGGGACAAGGGAAAACGACAATTGCTAGAAAGTTGTACAATAATGACATCATTGTTTCTCGCTTTGATGTTCGAGCATGGTGCATCATTTCTCAAACATATAGCCGAAGAGAGCTATTACAAGAGATTTTCAGTCAAGTTATGGGCTCCAAGGACAAGGAAGATGCGGTAGGCGAACTTGCTGACAGGTTGAGGAAAAGCCTAATGGGAAAGAGATATCTCATTGTATTGGATGATATGTGGGATTGTATGGCATGGGATGACTTAAGGCTTTCTTTTCCAGATGTTGGAATGAGAAGCAGAATAGTCGTAACAACTCGACAGTGGGTAAGCAAGTCAAGTACCATACTGATCCTTATTCTCTTCCATTCCTCACAATAGAAGAGAGTTGCCAATTGCTGCAGAAAAAAGTGTTTCAAAAGGAAGATTGCCCGCCTGAACTACAATATGTGAGTCAAGCAGTTGCAGAAAAATGCAAAGGACTCCCCCTAGTGGTTGTCTTGGTAGCTGGAATAATCAAAAAAAGGAAAATGGAAGAATCTTGGTGGAATGAGGTGAAAGATGCTTTATTTGACTATCTTGATAGTGAGTGCGAAGAATATAGTCTGGTGACTATGCAGTTGAGTTTTGATAACTTACCCGATTGTTTAAAGCCTTGTCTTCTTTATATGGGGATGTTTTCGGAGGACGCAAGAATTCCAGCATCTAAATTGATAAGTTTATGGATTGCTGAAGGATTCGTGGAGAACACTGAATCTGGGAGATTAATGGAAGAGGAAGCTGAAGGTTACTTGATGGATCTCATTAGAAAGTCGAATATTGCCAGGTTCATGATGTTGTGCATCACTTTTGCTTGGAGAAGAGTAGAGAAGAAAAGTTTATGCTTGCAGTGAAGGGTCAATATATCCAGTTTCAACCTTTGGATTGGAAGGGAAGTCGAGTGAGCTTCAGTTTCAGCGAAGAGCTTTCCAAGTTTGCATCTCTGGTCTCCAAAACACGGAAGCCTTTCCACCAACACTTGAGGTCATTGATAACGACCAATCAAAGAGAATCTATTGGTGTGATTCCCGTCTGTCAGATTAATGAATTGCGACTTCTTAAAGTCTTGGATTTGAGTTCTTATTATGTGGAGTCTTTGTGGTTAGCTAGATTAAATCCACTTAATCAGCTGAAGTACCTCGCAGTTTGGGCAGGT